ATGCATATATATATATATATAATATAAATAAAATATCTCTGTGGCTGATAATTGACATTTTCAGCTTTTATATATATTATTTATAAGAGTCCTACATTATTAGAAAAACGCAAATAGATTTGCAAATGGGTGGTCGCTATCAACCAATCAGCAAGCGCCTCATTTGTGGTTCTCTGATATAATGGGTGTAGTCGAGTTGCCACTATGCTTTGAAGCATTTGATTAACCAATCGGAAGAAAGAATTTTACTAATTGACCAATCAAAAAATTCGTAGCGGCAACTCGACCACACCTAATATAAGACTCTATATATGGTACTCTACTGTTAAAGTGGGTATAAAGAGATTTGTGTCAGTGCATGTGCCTAATGTTGATTGGCTCCGCCATTTATAGTTTAATTGTTAGTTAGAAGAAGACAACGTTAGAAAAAGAAGAGATTAGGATGAGAAATTGTGTCATAAATAAATGCTGGAAATGTCGACTTCCGGTTGGCTGCTGCTTTTCTGTTTTACTGTCAAAGTGTGAACGTATTCTTAGGCTAGTATTACATTTGTCGTACAATAAAGTTTTTAAGTTTATTCATTGGCTATAGGATAGAGAAATCCGACAACTTCTCTTTCCTGCAACCAATCAATAGGCTTGAAATATTTTCTCGTACGACAAATATAATACTAGCCTTAAACTGTGGCCACCATGTTATCTTATCCCTTCCACCATGCATATGACGATATGACACGTATATCGGTTCTCTCTACTTCTGTATGAATCTAAATGTCAGTAAATTTTGACAGGTCCCTATTTGTACGCATTTTTCTCAGCTCTGATTTTAGGTATGTACCTAATTCATTGTTTGTAAACGTCTCGTACCAGGTTTCGATTCGAATAATGCATACAATGTGCTAGGATGCAGATACATAACCTTAAACTTCACTCATCCGCTTTTACTTCATGCATAGAATTATTTGCGGAAAAATTGATGATGTTATTAAAATTTCGATCTTTTTCGCAGATTGTAAGGTAACTTACTTCTCAGTACGGTGTTACAAACAGCTAAGAAAATGAGCACAATAACCGAGCAACCGTGTTACACTCTGATAAACATCCCTACTGACACAGAACCACTCAATGAACTCCAGTTGAAGCAGGATCTTGAGAAGGGTAGTGTTCAGACGAAAATTGATGCGCTCAAGAAAACGATTCACATGATCTTAAGTGGTGAACGATTGCCAGGACTCCTAATGACAATCATTAGGTTCGTTCTACCTCTACAGAATCATACCATCAAGAAACTGCTGCTGATATTCTGGGAGATTGTGCCAAAAACTTCTGCCGATGGCAAGCTGTTACAGGAAATGATCCTAGTATGTGATGCATATAGGAAAGACTTGCAGCATCCCAATGAATTTGTCAGAGGATCTACTCTCAGGTAAGAATATAAACGAATGCGAGTCAAGTTGTAGATGTCAGTGTATATAATAAATATTAACTCATAACAGGAACATATGGGTCTAGTATTTCAATTCTATAACTCTTAACGACAGTGTTAGTATTATCTCAATATACAAATTAATAACAAATTGTTATCAAGTTGACATGAAACTTATTCATATTTGATGATAAATTTGGAAATATATCAGCAATAAATTCATTTGTTAGTAAAACTGTTTATATAATCAGCAAAAATTAATCAAAATTTTAGTCATTAATTTGCTATCGGCAAGCTTTGCATTGTTTTGCTAACAATTTTTTCTTATGTTATGTTAACAGATTTTATTATATTTGTACCACAATCAATGCTGACATAAGATATAATAGAATTTAAATTAAATTTGGTACCTTTTTGTCGATAAAATTTATATACAATAAGAATCTTATTAAATCATCTATGTAGAAACACAATCAGTAAGAAATAGGAATGGCCATAACGATTAAAGCTGGATCTTTGCTTAAATAATTCATTGTGACTTCACATACACTATATATGTATATATCAGGTATGTCCAATTTGAACTCTAGAGCCAAAACGCAAAACCATCGATGCCAAAAAATTCAGTGTAAGATTTTAGGGACTGTAAAGTATTGAGCGCATCTGAGTAATGCTTATCAACATTTTACAGTTTCTGAATCTTACCTACATTGAATTTTTTTACGTCGATGGCTTTGCATTTTAACTCCGGAGCTCAAATTAGACAGACCTGGTGTATATGTGTGCGTGCGTGTGTATGTACCGTATTTGTAGTCATTTTGAACTGCCAAAATTTTATCGGACTTAAAAATGCAGCTAAACTACTGAAATAATATCACAATTAAATTTTGATGCTCAAGAGGCATCTATTAAAGAACTCTTAATATGCTGGAAATCTGTAAATATTAAAAATCTGTAAAAATCTGTTAAAATTTATGGATTTAGGATACTATATATATATAAATAATATCCTAGGGCTTCTTAATTTTTAAATCGTATAATATTTTTAAATTGATTTGCAATAATTTGCTTTTACAATCTTATTGTTAAGTTTTGTTTATTATTCATGTAGGCTAATTATTGTATTATATATTTATACTAAGAATTCAA